GATGCAATACGCTTAAACTGAAATCGTTTTGATCCGAAAGGTGAACGTGATTTAGTATTGATCTCATGTCCAAAAAAAAAACACTATCTGATTCTAAACGAACAGGTCTTAGGCTGCATACTCGTACAGACATCTTTACAACATTCTCAGAAGTGTAATTGAAAATTTTAAAAGAGCTTTCTTTTGAGCTGTCCTTTTAGCTTGATACACTTACACACTGTAATTTTTGGTTCGGAGTATTATTAAAGACTTTTCTTTGCATAATATAATGCAGTAGCACTATGTTTCAGTAAATTGTGAGTAAAATAATCAAACTTATTTCTTCAGGTTTAATTTTCTGGAAATAGATCTATGATACACGAGAAGCATTGCGATTAGAGGATTCGATCCCGGTCGATTTTTATAATCCCGGGATTTCGGGATTATCTACAGTTAATCTCGGGATCCCGGGATAGCCCCGGGATTGTTTTGGCAATGGAAAGTGGTAACATAAAGACAGTAAAACATATTAAAATATTTTTTTTGTTTATCATTTAGTTTTGTGAATATTTAAGTTTTAAATCTCCAAAAAGGCGGTTAAACAAAATTATACTTTCTTCTTATAAAATAAACAAACTAGTGCCTAGTTTGTTTTGTGTTTCGGTAAATAATTTATGAAACTAACAATAAACTTCAAAAAATCAACTTCTTTAGACTTATTTAGATAAACTATAAACAAAAAACTATATGCTTAAGAGACCAATGTTTATAGATACCTACTCATTTTTTTTAAATTAAATTTCTCAGAAACTTTATAAATTACACACTTTTACGCATAATCCAGAACCGGTCATTAGCAAAAACAAATGAAATCAGCTGTGTAGACAAGATGGCTGTCAAAACATCAAATCAAGGCAAGGGCGTTTCTTTTTACGCACATTTTTATTGACTTATGTAAAAAATGTATCAATCCCGAAAATCCCGGGATTCATTAAATTTGATCCCGAAAATTTCGGGACTAAAATATGACCGGGATCCCGAGATCCGAATCGAATCCTCTAATTGCGATGCAGCTAGAAATCGGATCAGACACAGATACATCCCTGACATCATATATTATAGGAAAACGAATAGCAAAGTATCTTTATTGATACCAGATACTGTGTCTATAGCAAATCTATTAGCGTAAATACAAACGAAGGCTTCTTGACACTGATTACTACCTCAAGAACTAAAGTTGTTAATTTTTTTTTCACACATTGGATTAATAAACTTGTAGAATTTTAATTAAATTTATACTATATCCTGAGGGCGGCTACAAATGACATCGGACTAGTTTTGCTTTCAGTTTTACTTTACTTTTCAATACTGAATTTCAGATGATGTAACCCTTAAATATATTTTGGCTTCGTTTAGGGCCGTTTCATGAGTTAAATAAAATATTTACTTTGGGTTTACAAAGGACTTATTTATGCGGCTTCTAATTTCAGTGTCACGTATATTTTTCTTTGAAAGTAGAAATGTTTTCTGATTTCGTGAGTGACGTCTTTGTTCTCCATTATATTGTACCTTTTGTTCTTAAATAGGATAAAGGGGAATATTTGTCTCTATAACAGGTAAGATCAAATCATAATGAGACTCAATTATGAATTAGTTAATGGATGTTTTAAGAATACACAGATGGATGTGTTATAATTGATATTGAATTTTTATTGACATATAAAAGGTACCTTTTAGGAATCCCATTAGGTGATAAGACGCTCATTTTGTTGTTTTTTTGCAGACATCAATAAGTAAACAAACATTTTATTTAACTTCAATGATTTTTATTTAAGTAAATACAGATATCTGTGATACAATTTCGAACTTCAATGTTTCCGATTCATAGCTATTTAAGTTAAATTAACTGCTGGAAGGGAAACTTCTAAAGTTTGTGGCACTGGGAGATGTGCCTGAGACGTGATTGATATCCAACAAAAAGTTAAGGGAGAAACTTGAGAAATTGATATCAAGGGCTGACGTATTTAACAGAATACGTTGTCTAAATTGGCAAAGGCAAAACGGTAAATTAATTTACTCTATTTTATTTACTTTGACTCTACCTGTTATTAAACTCATTCCAACATTTTAATATAGTTCCAATTGCTTGTTTTGTTATCGAATCAAATCTGGACCATAGATTAATTTAAAAAAAAACATATTCCACTACAAGAAATACATAAAAAGAGATTTTCATTTTCACCGTTCAAGCTAGTGTAACAAAAGTAGCAAGTACGCGATGCATTTTACTCATTAAAAAAAATGGTGCAGATATCAATAAACAAAGGTTTTGTAGCTCAAAAACGACGTGCACGCTCTATTTGTAATATTGCGTCGAATGTTTCATGCCGGCCCTTGCTTTAGAGATTCATTAAAAACCATTCCACTACTCTGTATGTACTAAAAATAGAGGATTCATACAAGAGAATTTGACCGTAATTCATTATGTTTTTCGACCAGTTTAACTTAAACTGTTATTGTGGTTGTCGGTGGTCGCGTACCATCAGACGGTCCTCGTAAAGGTTTAAGAAGTTATTATTATAAACAAATCCATTTATTTTATATGAATTTTGATTGTTACATCCTTTGCTCATCCAGACTACAGATTATATTCATTGAACTTCAGTTATTGGCATGAGAAACAACTCTTTCTTTGATACGAGTATAGCGAATAGAAGAATAAATTGAAAGTTCAATTCTTGTTTGTTATTTTACTACGACAAAAGCCTGTGTATTGTTTGTTGTCTAGCTTGACTTGTTTTTTATTAATTCGCCACGTCCGCGTGTCAAGAGTTAAAAGATACTTTGGACTATTTTTGTTGCTGCTACTGCTACATCAATCCCAAGGATGTTTTAGGTTAGAAATGCTCGAGCTTCATTGCGAATTCCACAAAAATTTAGCAGGGTTGAAACTCCATAAATAAAATTCCAACAGAAGTGGAAAAGTTGGAAATGTAATTTCATTTTAACAATCTTTCATGATTTTAGAAATAACAAAACGTAAATCTAATTATTCTTTTGTTTTTGCTTTATATTTTTAAATCAACTCCCGCCACGACTTGTCTTGCGGTTTTTTTTCTTACGAAATTCTAGTTTTTCTAAAATAAAATTAGCCGTGTTACTAGTTATACAGTTTACTATATCAGCTGTGTGTCAGTGAAAGTCATTTCCAAAATAAAATTAGAATGTTCTACTCACAACATAAAAGTTTTCAGTTGCCCTTCAGAATTCCCAATACTAGTTTTTAGACGTTTCACCTGCCATGAAATGCATTTTGAGCAAATTGATATGGGTACGTTACCAAAGTTTAGTGACAGAAGTTAAGCAAAATATAATGTTGTTTGAGAAATCCTGGCTGTTCAGGCTTTGTAGAGAAATTAAATGCCGATTCTAATGTAATAACATAGGTTTTAATGCCAATAAAAGAAGTATCAACGTTAAAATATAATAGAAATGTCTTCGTATCACGCGGAGCCGTAATAAGAGCCGAAGAGCCGAGTGGAGTTTATTTTCTCTTCAGAATACATTTTAACAAAATTATAGCTTGGACAAGAATTATTGCTACATTTTATACTGCTGGTGCCTAAGCTAGGCTCAGAGCCTGTATTTCAGGGCACCAGGGTCCTCTCCTTAATTGTATACATTTCTATTAAGATTGTGTCAGCGCTTTTGACAGTTGGTTGTGGTCGAACTATTTGAGAATATATATTATGTACTTATATAAATATGTACCTTTGTATATAATTTAGTGTCATTTGTGCTTATATAAGCGCTTATATGCATTCGTGAATGTGAATGTGTGTATGCGTGCTTGGATGTGTGTGTTTGTGTGTATGTGTGCATATAAAAGAGCCTCCTATATTTATACTAAGAAAACAAGGATCGTTTCAGTGTCATCGTAGGTTAGATCTGAGAGCCAAACAATTAATTTTATTTTGCATTTTATCTTTTTCAGTTCATAAATTGACCAGATTTTATTGATTTTGTTGTATAAGTATGGTCCTAATAGCCTATTTCGGTATCCTGTGCTGCATTAAGATTATTTGCATTGCCACCGCCAAGACGAGCCAAGCGAAGCGCAAGGGCAATACCCACCTTTTCTCGAACTGCTTCGTCGTTTTTTTGAACGCTCATAACTTGGGTTTGGATTGTACCAAATACACAAAATTATCGAGATATGATGTCAGTGGACTTACCGATTTCGTGTCTGACTCACTGGTGATCATCAAAATTCTTAGGCTACTTCCTGAAGTCCTAGAAACCTGAAGTTTATTATGTAAGCTAGTATTAGTACATAAATAACAAAAAATCTAAAACTTGGAACTTTTGCCGTCCAACTTTTATAGCCTATGTCCTTCCCTACAACTCAAACTATCTCCATACCAAATTTCATCTAGATTGGTTCCTCGGTTTTTGATTCCCCATACAAACTTCAACCCCTCTTTTTACCACCATAGAGGATGATTTCTGGGATAAAATCTATCCTATGTCCTTACCCGGGACTCAAACTACCTTTATACCAAATTTCATCGAAATAAGTTTAAGCGTGAAGATGTAACAGACAGAATAACACACTTTCGCATTTATAATATTAGTATGGAGTATGGATAAGCAACTTGCAAATAGATGTAAAATCCCACCAAAAACATTTTCATGTACAATGTTGACGAGACGAGAATATATGGCTCGCAATGTCAAAAAGTTATCAGATCTTATGAAGAGCCAAACTTCCAACACTACACGCCTTAACTCTATAAGCCCTAACTTCACAAACTCTACACCTCAGTCAAAATATGTGGCTTGGCGGTTTACCGTTATACCAAATATATGTAGTTTTATATGTACTTACCTACATTTGTATATATATTTACAAAGGAGACACGGGTATATTAACACACTTGTACTACCTCTCTCTATTTTATATAGTGATTAGATCGTGTAGCCTTTATTCGTATGATATAATTTGAAACACGGAATGTTACTTACAAAGCGGCACGTTGCAGTCGGCACAATAGTAAACATCTCTTTACGTCCCCTTTTGCTGGTTTCTTTTTTGCCGATATCGGCACCGACTTTGCACATTCTGGCACGTACTTTTTTTTAGATGGTGGTATTCTCTCCAAAAAGTGTTTTTCGGTCAGTCTTGATAAAGCAGATCTCACATGTAGACCAGTAGACGACTCCTGCTGCTTCTCAGTACCTCCATCGAAAGCAATGTCTTCGCTAGCTCGAGTCAAAAAATGAGCAAACCTTGTTCATCACGATTTTGCGTTAGATTTAGTGTATATGATATATGCGTTTACCAGTGACCTAGCCACCAAACTGAAGAATCTTCTACGATGTTCGATGGGAGCATAGTACGACAGGTATTGGTCGTTCAAAGCCACGCCAATTTAGGTTGACATTGTAGTCAAGTACGCAATCTGGTTTGAACTTTTTGATTTTGGCATCTTTTGCTTTTACTTCCTCTTGATTACTTTGTGATTACTTGCTCCATCTACTTGCGACGTGTACAAGCACCCTGGTACTAAACTGTGTCAAACTGTGAAACGAGCAAGACGCATACATGTAACCCGCGCAAACAATATGCACATTATATCAACCAAACGTGCAAGTAACTTGCATGCTATAGACGCAAATAACCCTCGTCTTTGCCCGCCCTAGCTACCTGCACCGTGTAGAAACACCCTTAATATTAAATCAATGCTCGACGTCAGTCGGAAAGAAAGGTTCCTGTGCTGTCGCCCTGCTCAATCGGCGATGACCGGGGAAGCAGACGAAATTGCTCAGTTCAATTCGCAAGTCGCTAGTAAATTATAACCGCAATTACATGTTGAGGATGTAATTCGCTGTCAAAGTGTTAAATTGTTGAAGATTTTTAGTTAAATTATTGTTTTTCATTATATCTGTGTTTTAAATTTTTTGTACTAGTTTTACTAAGATTAGGTTAAGACTTTTGTAACTACTAATACCTATATTATTAGTCTCGGCCCGAAATAAATAAATTTCCTTTATCCGTCCGTTTTCTTTTCTCTTTAACTTTTACATATTAACAGAAATTTTATTGTAAATTTAATTAATAAAATTATAAAAATATAAATTATTAAATAATAATTAATTTAATTAATTTAAACAACAGCTCCTCAACGGACAGGGCGCTAATGCGGGCTATACTATAGGAAACATTACTTAGTACATCTCTGTACCTTGACATCTTGTGCAGTAAATGTTTGCCATTTGTGTTGCGTAGGAAAAATAAATAAATAAACAAGCGACCTAAACACAGTTTTTGAACTTTTGACTTATAACACTGCCCATTGCCGACAAACATACGCATGTCTGACTGTCCAAAAAAAAAAGACCGTTTTATCCCTACTAATATTATAAATACGAAAGAATCTCTGTCTTTATTTTTGATAAAGACAACTCTTGTATTAGGAATATATCCTGGGTCGCGGGGACATTACAAACATACATGAAACACAACGAACACCCAGACCCAGAACAACAATACGTGGATCACATAAAGTGTTGTTCCATGTGGGGACCGCCTCGGGTTCAAGTAATTCACAGGAGTAGTTATATTATTTTTATTAAAAGTCTAACATTTTACTCGCATGCGTAAATTACTAGTAAGTCAGACATCCCCGAAGTGCACACTACCGAGTAAAAGGGTATATCTTTAATGAATAGGAATACTAACCACCCACAAACGTTTTTATTGTAAAACAACTAAAGCGTTTTAGTTATAGTTAACGATGTCATAACTCAATGTAATTCGAGTTTCCTTTATACAGTATAATCCAGTTACTGAATAGCCAAAGGGTTTGAAAGTGTACTTGTTTGCGTATTATACCTGTCTGTACCCTCGTACCTGTTAATTACATTTATGACAGTGATATTGTTTCAACTTTGTTCCATTTATGTAGTCAGGGTCTCGGTCGGTGGCTGATTGGATAAACAACAAAACGTAAGTCACACATGGCGCTAAAGAGTTTCATAAAATAAATATTCAAAGAAAGCCTTGTTAATACCTTATCTATTTTGTTATAGCAGTTAATTTAAAAAACAGAATTAATTTATATAAATTTATTCAGATACATTCATATGAATTCATTCAGTTCGGCACATTTTTTTTACGACTTCATTACAAATCTTTGAAATTCTCGGATTTCCTCTCCTGTAATATGCATGTATTGTACTACTCTGTCAAGAAAGTACTGGGAAAAGATCAATAATACACAAAATCTTTGTTATTCATCCAAATTTATTTTATCACATTCAAAGTATGCTCCTTTAGAAACGATACACTTACGCCAACGAATAATCCAATCATCAAAACAATTTTTAAACGCTGATTGAGTGCATGACGGCCGGAATTGAGTTCAGTTCTCGCCGCGAATTCTCCTTTATGTCTTCTACCGATTGAAAACGGGTGCCACGAAGTGGTAATTTGAGTTTAGGAAAAATAAAGAAGTCGGCTGGACCATATCTAGTGAATATGGTGGTTGCTCGATGGTATTTGTCGAGTGTTTGGTCAAAAATTCGTTCACAATGATGGCCTTGTGAGAAGGCGCATTATCGTGGTGCAAAATCCAAGAATTTTCTTATCATAAATCTGGCCTTTTTCGTCGAATTTGCTTTCTTAAGTGCCGCATAACCCTTAAATAATATTCTTTATTTACCGTTTGACCTTCCGGCAAGAATTCCGAGTGCACAACACCGCGATAGTCAAAGAAAACAGTCAACATGACTTTGACTTTTAATCGACTTTGGCGTGGATTTTTCGGTTTCGGTTCAGTTGAAAGGCGCCACTCCGAAGCTTGTTGACTAGTTTGCAAACTCGTAAACCCACGTCTCGTCTCGTCTCGACCCATCACATCTCGACCGCTTTTGAACGCTTTGTACCACTCATAAGCACGTGTTTTTGATGAAGTCGATTCACCGTAAGCTGTCTGTAACATTTTCAGTGACTCCGTACACGAAATTCCATTGGCGATGCAAAATTAAAACAAACTCTTTGTTCGAGATACGAGTATGATATATGGAAAACAGTTGTGCCAATCTAACAACAAAAGAAACAAAAATTTGAATTTGGAACCATAAACAAATCATCCATTCCCGATACGTTTTTGACTGAATGTATATATAAATCGCGCCTCTTGAATCACTCACTCTCTATTGGTGAAAACCGCATTGCGTAGTTACAAAGATCTAAGCGTACAAGAGAAAAACGACTTCACTTTATAGTATGTAAAGATACCAGCACTAAGATACTGTCACTGGTGCAGTGGCGCGCACGACTGGAGCAGCCGCGGAATGCGCGCCAACGCGCTGTCGGTGCCGTTCTGCCTAACCTTGAACCTTGGGTAGGTAGGTAGGGAGGGAGGTTGCGTCACCTACCGACTGACGCAGGTACTCACTGGGCATGGTTGCTTCGGGGAGTACCTGAATCGGATTGGACGCGAGGAGACGGCACAATGCCAGCACTGCGCAGCCGACTGGGACTCCGCCCAGCATACGCTGGAAGACTGCCCCTCGTGGGCGTCTGAACGCGAGGTCCTGGTCGACCAAATCGGACGAGACCTGTCCCCGCCAGCAATCATTGCTGCCATGCTGGCGGGTGAGGAGGGCTGGGGCGCAGTGGTCTCTTTCTGTGAAGCTGTAATGCTCCAGAAAGAGACCGCTGAACGGGATCGGGAGAGGGCCGATCCCGAACGTAGAAGACGTCGGCGGCGATATCAGCCATCGACGGGGCCGCGGGCCGCCAGAGAGTGGGGACCTCTGGTGGCAGATTGATTGCTGCGGTAGGGAATGGAATGGCCGGTCTGATTGCATTAAGATGCGATCGGGCCGCCATGCCGCGATTGAAGGGGGAAGTGTTCTCCCCTGGGATAGGGCCTGATTAGGCATGGTGTCAATTCGGGGAGGACCTGAAATAACATGGTCCGGGTCCTCCCTAGAGTAGGACACCTAAGGCCGGCCGTCGGGGTGGTTTTTAGTGGAATCACCACATACTTCTGGCTCCTGAGTCCCCGAGGAGCTGGAGATCCGAAGGGATTTTCCACCCCGTCAATAAAAAAAAAAAAAAAAAAAAAAAGATACTGTAGTGCTTGTGTAATGTTATATCTGGTTTTACGAAGAGGATTTCTTGCAGGAAATTGAAGTGCGTATGGGCAGATGCAAAGAAGTACAATGAAATATTTGTAGTTTTTTTACTTAAAATTACAACTACAACAATTACAACAACAAATATCTTTATCTTTTTTTCTTTTTTAAAAAGACAACTCCCGCATTAGGAATATATCCTGTGTCGCGGGGGACTTTACAAACAATGGTCCAACAAATCATCAGTATCCTTTTCTAATCAATCATGTATGTTGTATCTATTAAATTGTATTCTCCTTTTTCTATCATTTTTATACAAATTAAAATATCGAGTAAAAACAATAGATTAAAATATCCGACGGCATTCTAATCGAGCACGTCCGAAAAGAACGAATATTGTTTTTTCGTTTGTTGGCAAGAGAAAGTGCTTTAAATGGTTGCCATACGAAAATCTGTGGCAATCGTTACGGATGGTTGGAGCCCTAAAAAGTCCGACAATAGCCTTAGGTCTCATGGCAGTCGCTCCGCGTAAAAAATTCGAAGTTCAACCGTTTCGTACTACTAACCTAATTTGGGGAAAAGGCTTACAGGAAGAGGGTAAGAGAAAATGCTTGTGTTAAAAATTCCATGATTTACGAGCCTCTCTACACGAGTAGTTAAGGTCCTGACAAACCCTGAGTGAGTAATAAAGATACATTATAATCAAAATTACGCATAGACATTTTCGACACAGCATAAGTTTCGCTCTAATCTACCCGAACTGGTTTGGACTAATATCTTTGTTTTATAAAAAAAAAAATCGAGAGGGTTCTAGACGGTTATATCGAGACTGAAACGTCTAAGTTTAGAGCTAGACCTTAAGTCAGCGTGAAGTCGTATAGTAAGTAAGTAAGTAATTATTAGTTAAATGCTTTACGTTTTAAAGATGCCTCTAAATAAAGTTTTGAACAAGATCCTTATTCAGTTTTGAATATCATAATATACTTATTTCATAAAACTGTGTCGATATTAAATAATAACATTAAGTCTTAAGCGGCTGTTACCCACCTTTTTCAGGTGCTGCATTATTCAAGTCTATAATCAATTTATTTACGTACATCACAATTAAAATGATATTATTAAAGTACTTTTACTCTTTATAGATTATAGAAAAATTTAGCGCAGCGCAGTTCTATGAAAACCTTCACATACTTGTGCTAACTTGACATTTGAAAACGACATGCAAATCGATAACTTGCATGTCGCATA